TCCAGTAATAGCTCCATTCAAGAGACTGCTCCATGTCAGTAAAGGCAACCTGCTCGCCGCCACCCTGCTTACTGCCCGTTCCGAAAGCCCTTTGTCGGGGGTGAATCCTCTTACCACCTTCTTTGTCCCAGTTCTGGGGGGCTCCTGGAGCCCCCTTGGCAGTGCAGGGTGCACGTGAGGCTCTTGGAGACAGTGGGCCGGTGACTTTCTGTGGCTGTCACGCAGGCCTCAGCCCCTGGGTTCTTCTCTGTTATCAGTGGTGGCTGGATTGAGTTCAAACACCTGGGTGTGGGGGTCCTTCCCTCAGCACCAAGGGCAGTAGGACACCGACCAGGGTTGCTCACAGGGGCTCCCTCCTGGGGCTCTGACAGAGTACAAGCTCTTGTGAACTCACGACAGGTAGAAGCCATGCCTTGATGGGGACCAGCTCAGAAACCCATTTTTCTCATTTGTGAGAAGAGGGAAGGGACTCTTGGGTTACGGGGGGGAGCAGAGTTCATTGTTTGGCCTTTTTGGTGGTTATTGCTGCTGCAGCTGTTATGAGTATGTAGAGATTGGCATCCAGAGGTTGGCATTCTTCTCTCCACCTTATTTATTTGTTTGTTTGTTTGTTTGTTTGTTTGTTTGTTTAGATAGGAACTCTCACTGAACGTGGTTGCTCTCTGACTGGCTGGCAAGCCCTCAGGGATCCGCCTGTCTCTGCCCACTTAGCACACACACCGCCAGGCCCAGGCTTTACGTGAGTGCTGGACATCCAAACTCACTTTCCACCCCACGCGGCTTCTCCGGCCCTTTGGCCCTTACTTCTGAATGAGGATAATATGTCTCTCTTAGCCATCTGCATGCCTCGGTTTCATGAGCCTTCGTGAGATTCCACTTCTGGCTTTCCCTCGGGAAGACCAAGGGTAGCTGCTCCTTCCTGCCTGCCTCCCAGCCCTCCCGAGGCTCTGGGGAAGCTGTGCATTCAGCAGGTTGTTGTTCAGAAGCCTTTGATGCCGAGCACGCCACACGGAGAGGAAAGGACAAGCGCTCTGCGTCTGTGCTTACAAAGAGACCGAGAATGCGCCGCCGTGGCATAGACAGAAGAAGTAGACGTTTCCAGGTCTGGCAGGCTGGACAGGGCTCCCGTCTAGTGAGCATCAGCTGAAGTTTGGGATGGCAAACAGGTTCCAGAGACGGGTGATGGAGCATGCCTTCACAACCCTGTCACTCACTGCCCTTCATGCCAGCGAACTGTGCACTTAAAAAATGCTTAAGGTGGGAAGTTGTAGGCTGGGTCTATTTTACCACCATAAATTTTTTTACTTTGAAAGAGAAAACTATAATGCCCAAAGGGGGTTTCCCCACTCACTGCCATCCCTCTCAGATTCCTAATCCCATTATTTCTGTCCTTCCCTCGTCAGCTCAATTCACTTGGGGAGGAGGAAGGTGTTCGACACAGAGTTAGTGATTCATTGGAAATGATAATGCACCTGTGAGATAAAAATGATTATATGTTGAGGAATAACACTTATTGATAATTAAGTGTTTCATTGCTTCTTTGCTTCCCCAAATGGAATAAATAAATATTTTAGACATAATCAAGTTTGTTTTCTCTATTCAGGCCAAACAGACAGGGATGTTGAAGAGATATAGATGCTTCAAATGCTGCCAGTGAGTCTTGACATTACTAAACTGTGATGTATCCAGGGTGCAGAGGCTTCAACCCAGGCTCTCCTCCTTCCGTCAGGAAAACCTTTTTTTTTTTTTAAGGATTTGGTTATTTTTACTTTATGTGTTATGAGTGTCTTGCATCACTTGTGTGCAGTGATGAGTCCAGAAAAAAAGCATCAGGTTCCCTGGAACGGAAGTTACAGATGGTTGTGAGCCATCCTATGGATGCTGGGAATTGAACCCAGGTCCTCTGGAAGAACAACTAATACTCTTAATCACTGAGCCATCTCTTCAGGCCCAGGAGAATCATTTTTTGTGATATACATGTTCCGAGTCCCGAGAGGTTAGGGAAGAGGGACCATCGAGGAAAGTTCCGAGTCAGAAGCCAAATTCATGCCAAGAGCCCTCTGGCTCCCTTACAGCCACGTGCGTTTTAATCCCCACTTCTTAGCTGGTTGCCTCCTTCCTGTCTGCCTGGTGGCCCAGCACAGTGATAGTGACCCGGAACAGTGACTTCCATGGTGGACCAGGGGGTTACGTGGGCACATAGGTGCACCGTGCGTGGAAGAGCTCCACCCTTGCCTCTGTTCCGTTGTTAAGTACGAATACGCTGGGCCACCAGGGGCCTCCACACCTTCCCTCCACCTCCTGGAGTGCCGCTGGCTTCCTTCACCTTCTTTCCTGATAGCTCGAATGGGTCTGGCTCATTGAACCACATTCTCAGGCCTTCTGTCCAGAGCACTGTGATTGGCCAGTCAGCAGCCTGGCTGGAGGAAGTGTGGTCCCTTTCTGCAGAGACAGCAGGAGCCTGTCCCCTCACTGGATGAGTGTCCTGTGATCGCCGCCGCCGTGACCAGTTATCTCACTGGGCTGTGGTGGTGGCTGCACTCCCTGCCCAGCTGTAGGCGGTAGTCCGTTGGCACATGGTGGTTGGTTGCGACTCTATCACCTGTACCATGCCTGCCGTTGCCCTCCCATAGCCTTTTCTCTGTATCTCTTCCCATCTCCCGCCTCTTACGAGGACACCAGTTGTTGGACTAGGAGCGCTCCTTAAATCGGGAATCTTTAATCACATTTGCGAAACCACTTTCCCGGGGCTCGGGGTATAGGTATGTATTCGGAGGGTCACTCTTCAGTCCTCTACAGTCACTCTAGTTAGCAGTGGGGTAAGACAGCAACAGAAACCCTAACGCATTTGGGCTGGTTTATTTGCAAGAGTGCTGAGGTGGGTCCGGGCCAGAGGGGTTACCTTCACAGGCAGATGCGGCCCACAGGCTGGATGCAAGGGACATGAGATAGGGGACTAAGCGTCAAGGAAAGGTGCCACCCAAAGAGAAGGAGTCCAAAAGCTCTGCAGGTTCTCTCCAGGGACAGAGCTTGGGAAGTGTGAGCCTCCATTTTAGACAGCTCATGCGTGATGTCAGGCCTCAGGGTACTGAGGACACAACTTTCACCCAGGGGTGCTGAGAAACCTTAGCGGTTTGAGCCCCCTCAGCAGACAATTGTGTCCTCCTTAGAACATGTCAGACACCTGCCTCACGTGCCTGTGATGGCCTAGGCTGTGTGTACGCTGTGGGAACATCAGTTCAGTATTTGGTACATGATAATAAATGGCACAGCCTGAAGATCATGACTGCGTTTGTGTGGTCGTCCTGGCCTTCTGTTTTCCTGCAGGTTGTGTGAGAGCAGGGAGCCACCTTCTTTCCTGAAGACTCGCTCGAACCTGCTGTGGGAACTGTGACGTAAAAGTTCTGTGTGTCAGCTCCGTTTCCCTGGTAGTCCCTGGAAGTGGTAGTAGAGTTGGTTTTATGAACCGGAAGGGACTTGAAATACTCTCTTCCTACCTTGGGTGGCTGAGCCCCCAAACAGACACAGGAACTGGAAGGGGCTGCGTCTGCCTCCTCCTCATTGACGGAAGCAATGATAACCAATGCTACAAAACCAGCCAGTCGGATTCTGTCTTTCCGTGCTTCTCGTTCACATCTTTGGAGAACAGAGTGTCTTAGTTGTTGGGAAAATGCCATCGCTTGTAAACAACGGGCCTCTTACAGTTCTGGAAGCAAGAAGTTGAGTCATGGTGGCAGTGTGGTCACCCCTGGGAAGGGCTCCTCTGCAATCTTACAGAAAGACACCCCATTGTGGCCTGACTGGGCAGGAGAGGAAAAAACAAGCTATCCGGCCTTTCTCTAAGGGCACTAATGCCACTCTTCTGAAGGGTTTCTTCCTCATAATCAACTTCACCACTTTACCTTCCAAAGCAACACACACACACACACACACACACACACACACACACACACGCACACACGCACACCAGTCCATATCCCTGGGAGTCCAGATCTGGGGGGCCTGGTGTCTGCTTGTACTACCTTTACTTCCAGGTACCAAGTGTTAAGGTCCAGAAAACAGAAGCAGGTGCCCAGGTTATGCCCAGGCAAGACTATAACCAGGCCCCTGCCTCATCAGCGTCTCTCCATCTCTGCCCAGGTTCCCTTGCACGTGAGCGCCAACACGACAGCTGTGCTCAGTGCAAAGTGGTAGACCCACCATGTGTGGGCCCACATGGTACCCTGGTGCTTACTGAGTAGGGTCATAGATGGGGACACATACTGGAAGCGCCGTTGGGGGTGGAAAGAGAAGAAAGGAAGGGGCAGGAGGGTGGAGAGAGGCACGCAGGATGCTGAGCGGCAGTCGCCTGCCAAAATTCTTCAGTGCAGCTGGTCTAGTAAAGCCGGCCCCCAGCCGAGTAAATACAGTGGATAGCTGACGGGCTGACAGCAGGCATCACACAGTCTTAAACTGCCCCAAATCCACAGTGTGTTTGAAGCGGCTGTAGCAAAAGGATGCCCGCACAGAACAGAGGCCTGCAACTTTTAATAGTTTCTTCCAGGCCTCAGGATGTCCTGATGAGGTATTAGAGGAAGTCATTCAGGAAGAAAAGGACCAATAACCGCCTCCGCATGGAGGCCGACCCGAGGGCTAGCCATCGAAGCTCACAGAAAGGGCCAGCAAGGCCCCGCAGAGATCCAAGAGGCTCTCTGTAGCCCACAAGCCTGCCTCTGCACAGAGCCAGCAGGCTCCGACCCTTGTAAATAACAGACAAGTAAATTTCTTATTTGCTTTGGGGCAAATGTAAGCCACACGGTGCCTGCTGCACGTGGGTGGAATTCTGACTGCTGCCTCGCCGTTGGAAGGGTGCTGGGTACAAATAGGAATCACTGCCTGGAATCACCACAACATCCCCATCCCCCCTGCCGCCCATCTGGAGCCTGTCCTGACTGCCGGCCACCCTGCACATCCTGCAGAGACCAAACTCACGCCTCCTCTCTGTTTCTCCTTTTTTGTAGGGTTTGGCTTTGTCACTTTTGAGAATGAAGACGTTGTGGAGAAAGTCTGTGAGATCCATTTCCATGAAATCAATAATAAAATGGTAAGTCAGGAGGGACTGTCCTGGCCTGGGGAGCCCTTTCTCTGCGCCACATCCCTGTCTTGTGAGTGACGGCAGCATCAGTGTCATGCATGCGGTAGACAGGGAGAGGGATGAGGGCCAGGCTGTCACAGTTCAGCCCCCATTAATGGTAGCAGTTGTGAGAAACAATAGCCAATGAACTCTTTCAGTGAAGGGCCAGGTGGAAGTAATGATGTTTATCTGTAATACCAGTACTTGGCATTCAGGAGGTTGAGGCCATAAGTTCAAAGCCAACCTGGTCTGCAGAGTGAATTCCATGCCAGCCAGGAATGTGTAGTGAAACCCTACCTCAAAGCCCCCAAAATAGACCAGGCATAATGATGGCGCACGCCTTTCATCCTAGCACTTGGGAGGCAGAGGCAGGCGGATCTCTGTGAGTTCGAGGTCAACTTGGTCTTTGTAGTGAGTTCCAGGATGGGATGGAGAGACCTTTTCTCAAAAAGCCAAACAAACAAAAAGTCAGAAATAGCCTGGGGCAATAGCTCAGACCAGAGTACTTGTTAGCAAGTCTGAGAACCCAAATTTGATCTTCAGAAGCCCTATAAAGGCGCACGCCTTTAATCCCAGCACTCGGGAGGCAGAGCCAGGCGGATCTCTGTGAGTTCGAGGCCAGCCTGGGCTACCAAGTGAGTCCCAGGAAAGGCGCAAAGCTACACAGAGAAACCCTGTCTCGAAAAACCCAAAAAAAAAAAAAAAAAAAAAAAAAAAAAAGCTGAGTATAGTAGTGCACTCTTAAAATCCCAGCACTGGCAAAATGGACGCAGGCAGATCCCCAGGGCTGGCTGGCCGGCCAGCCTACCCTAGTTGATAAGTTCTGGGCCAAGGAGAGACTCTAAGGGTAGGGGTAGGGGGCTCATCTGAGGAACAACACCAGAGATGGTCTTCTGGCTTGCACACATGTGCACTCCCCACACACAGTCATATACATTACCATCCCTACACACATACACAAAGCCAAAATTAATTATACAAATAAAAAATCCAAATAGTAAGTATTCAGGCTACCCTACATAGTTGAGACCCTATCTCAAAAAAAAAAAAAAATTACCAGTTTTTGGAGCTGTTTATCCGACCATTGCAACCACTCTGTTCTCGTGCAAACATGTCCTTAGGCCCTACATACGTGAATTTCCTGTGGCACCCCCTCTCTCCTTCCCTCCAACACAGAATCCAACATTCAGGGCAAGCACTCTGCCTTTTGCTACATACTCAGTTTCTCATAGTTTAACCCTTTAATAATATAAAGGAGTATTTTTAAATCTCGGACCTTATAAAACACAGGCAGAGGCAAGGCATGCTAGATATGGTCCACAGGCTGGAGTTTGCAGCCCCCTGATTTCAACCATGCTTTTTTTTTTGAGGGGTTGGCGCGCTCAAACTCAGAGATACTCTGCTCCTGCCTCTGAGTGTTATCTGTGATTGAAGGTATGTGCTGTCCTCCAGCCAAGCTTTTGACGAAAGGCCTTGAGGAGCCTCTCTTAGGGGGGTTGCCCGGCTGTTTCTCTTTCTGACGTCATCATCAGCTGCCTCCTCCTTAGCTGTCCCTCCTGGTGGAGGAAGCCTCAGGAGGAGCGGAGGTTCCGCCCCTGGAATTCTGGGGAGCCAGGGAGTCCACCCACAGAACTGGCCACCAGAGGGTGCCATGCCTTGTGTGTGGTGTCTGCCTGCTCCTTCTCTCACCCCACACCCCTCCCAGCTTGACTGTGGGGTGACGAACCCTTTCTTTGTTGGTTCTAGAAAAAAAAAGAAAGCTCAACAGGTGTTTCTGGACGCATCTACAGGTCCCCCAGAACATAAACATTTAGGCTGGCCAGCAAAGCCTCTGGCCCGGAGAGAAGAGGGTGGGTAGGCAAATTTGGGCTTCGACCGCAGCTGTGACTTTGATATTTTTCTCCCTTTTGTCAAAACATTCCTTGCTTCTGAAACATGCATTCAGATATGCATTGTATATCGGTCTGATATGTGTTCACCAACTTTAGATTCAATAATAGAGCTTTTAGTGTGGATAAGATCAAAGCAATCTGCTTAGCATGTGGTGCTGCAGGCTGGATTCAATATTTGACTTGCTAATTTTTTCCCAGGGCACTAAAATAATATTGTTCATATTGTTCCTAGCCATCATATGCATCCGAAATGAAAATAGTCTTTCTTTGCATGGTGTATGTTGGCGGCATCTGCACCGGCTCTAACGTGCGGTGCGGGACATGGGCGGAGGAGCACAGCACAGGGTCCTTCCTTGGCTTTGTCCTCCAGGTGCCGTTGCCTTCCGGTTGGCACTTCCCCACCTTAGGCCGCTGTTCGCTATTTCCTAAGCTAGAGAGGTGGAGGACCTATACCTGTGCGCAGATGCCTCCTGGAGCCTCTGCGGAGCTTGCTGTTGACAGGCTCCAAGGGAGGTGGGTGGGGCTCAGGGAGCGGAAGAGGCATCAGAGGATGCGGGCAGATGCCTGCCCGTCCTGTATTCCCAGCAGTTCACTGGGAAGGATGCAGTGACCGCGAGAGATGAATTCCAGGGTCGTTATCGGCAGACTTTGAAAGGAGCCTGTGACACAGGACGGGACTCATCCTCCGCCTCCGTGGGGAAAATGAGGCCCGGGATTGGCCCCTGGGTTACCCATAGTGAAGGAGCATAGGTCTTGGGCTACTCAGTGAGCTGTATAGACTCTTGTCTGAGTTTGGGGTGAGAAGGTAATCCCTCAGATGACCAGGGAAGGAGAATAAGGACATGTTGAAGGAGACAGAACCTGTGGCTGGCTGACTGGGAGTCAGAGGTGCTGGCAGCCCTTTCCCCAGGCCTCTCCCGTGTATCAGGGCCACTCTTCATGTCGGTGGCACTGCGTGATGGTAATTGATGGCTTTGGGAAGCCTCTAGTATAAAATGCTTGTTTTCCTTTCATCTGGGGTGCTTGTTCTGTACGAAATAAGCAAAATCGGAAGTGGACAGAGAAGGAGAAGGCATGGGAACAGAGTAGTTCAGATCCCAGACTTTAGGGTGTCAGTGAAAGTTCTTAGCCTGGACCTACCCAGAGGAGGGATCAGAGGTTCTGGGGAGTGGGGGCAGAGGCAGGTCACTGAACCCCAACAAACTAAGCGAAGCCTGCCACTTCCCTGGGTTGTTGAAGGCTAGGTGTGCTGCCGTGAGCAAGGGCTTCACACCCAGCTTCACACCATGTTTGCCTCAGGACGCAGGCTTTATTTGCTATCTTGAAAACCTTTCCTTCAGTGAAGAAACACAGAATTTAAAGGAGGGAAAGGGAGTTGGTGGAGGAGCCCGTAGCCTGAGTTGCTTTTGGATTCACCAAGAAAGGAAATGCATCTAAACTGTGCCATAGACAGAATTTGAATGAGCCACCCAGAAAGACAGAACCGGAAGACCTCTAAGTCAGAGCAGTTGTTTAAAGGGACATAGGAAGGTTTGCTATTCCGTGCTATGAGACTGGAAAGGACAACCCCCCCCCCCAAACCTTGCCGTCACCCCTTAGTGCACCCCCTCTCTCACATTCGCAGATAAGATGGGTCGCCGCCTTGACTCACAGAGGTAGAACATGAATCCTAGAACTTTCTAGCTCAATGGCATACACCTGGCATTCACCAGACTGAATTCATACTTGTGGAGTGAGTAAGGGAGTCCATCAGGAGCCAATCACCGGACTCAAAGGCACACCATAGTTCCCACGGCCATTTCTTTTCTAATTTGGTTCGTGAATCTCATGAGCTTTTTAGAAAGCTCTTCAGCATCTTAGAGCTAGAGCAGGTGGACGGGCCTGAGGAAGACAGGGTCATAGAACAGCCTCCTATCTTGAGGAGACTGCCTCCAGGGTGGGGTAGACGTTTGGGCCGGAAGTCTCCACATGGCCCTTCCTGTTACAGGCTGCAGCAGCTGAGATTTTAGGATGTGTCCGTTTGGGTTGCTGACCACTTGCTTGGTGCATCTTGCCTGATTCGATTGTCACGCCCTTTCTGGTAGACACAAAATCAAACCGTTTTCCCCATTTTACAGATGGGCAAAGCAGAGACAAGCAACTGCCCAAGACCACACAGTCAGCACAAGCAGTCCCAGAATTCAGTACTGGAAAGCTGTACTCCTGAGCTCATGATTGAACCCTGAGCTCATGATTAAACCCATAAGGCTAGCCTTCCTCCCTAGACCAAATCTAGGCTATCACGATGGTCTTACTGGGTTAGAAGTCCTCCCATGGCCACTGAGCATCCTTTTTCCTCAGCCCATGTAGTTTCTTGATCTCCTCATTGAAGGCTGGCCAGGGAGGAGGACCGAGTTTGGGCTGAAGGGTCCCGGTCAGCCATCAATCCAGGCCTCTTCCCTTGATCCTTGGGGCATGATAGAGAGCTGGCTGCCACTCAGGGTCAAGGTCCAGCCCACAAGAGCAAACATGCAAACGCAGGCCTGGCGCAGCCTCATGACCCTCCTCTCTGACCGCTCTGCAAGCCCCAGTGCGGGTGCAGCGAATCACGCCTCCCATGGCGGCGTGGCCCTGATTGAAGCAGGCCTGTACCAGCAGGGACACTTGCTTGATTAGTCAGTCACCAGAGCCCAGCCTGCACGCAGCTTCCTGATGTGCCAGGCCGCCACGGGGAAGGAGGTGAGAATTGACATAGAGCCAGCTTCTGGGTTCCTCTGAGGCCCGGCACAGCCCCCATCTCAAAACGATGTTGGAGAGATGCTCTTACCGCGGTTGGGTAAGAAAGGAGGATGCAGAGTGGAAGGTGCCGGGGTAGAGCCTTCTCCTACACTCCGTTCACGGGGAGTTGGTGTTTCCAAGTACCATGCTGGTACCTTACAGGCACAGACAGTGCCACTGCCCGCCTGCCTTTCACGCAGCATGCTAACTGAGCACCGCCAGTCCTCCAAGGGGAGCACCAGAGCTTGGTGGGAAGGAGGGACTTGCATGATGAGACAGTCACAGGTGGAAGAGCTGAAATTGGTTTTTGTTTTAACCTTT